CTTGACGGCTTTAACCAGGTTCAACACGTACTGGTACGTCTTGTCAATGTTGGCGAATTTGTACCCACGCTAATGTAGCCATTAGCGCATCTAACCATTTCCCCACGACCGCAGTGAGTCTTGTGCGACAGCTGGCTTGGTAAGACGTCTTTCACTTGTCGATGCTTGACTCTGACTGATTTGTTTATAGCAGCTTGGCTGTGACTTTGTCGCCCGTTGCCTTCAACGAGTTCTCTAGGGCACGTCCGTATGTCAATGTTGCCGACATCTTGGTTGACTAACCGTTCATCTAGTCCTTCATCCTCGCGCCTCACTCTTCCAACGATGTACGTCTCGTCTCACTGTTTAAACTACTTGGTTCTACCTAGACTGTTAGTTTACATCAACACTGGATTTATCACTTAGCTGCGTGCCGGTGAATGTTGACTTGCCTTCGCACCGGGGTCAACTGCATGTCTACGTGATGGCACTGTGTATCACGGACCGTTCAACTCTCTCTTTGTACTCCCGCCGGTCGAGGCCAAGGACGTCAACACATGAGTGACCGAGAAATGGCTGCCATTAGCGTAGCCGCTATAGCCAAGGAGTATCGGGTTCAGCCCCATCTTGGTGAGCTGCTCCTGCCAGCGGTCTTGCCCATACAATTTGGTCTTATCGTGCTTTACAGATTACCGCGCTGTGTCTACTATCAACGGCTGGTCGGTGCTGCAACATTTAGTCAATCCCCGTATACTCATTTCCTCTGGAGACCCCTTGGGAAGGGATTAGGACGAATCTAGGAGCTTGTCTTCGTTGTCGGTGAATCGTTCAGCCAGGACAAAGGATCTGTCGCCATCCCAATTGGATCCTAAAGCACGGAGAAGAGCTTGATTTGTACACGGGCGAAGTGAAGGCTAGTTTCCTATTTCTTCTCCCGGCCTTTCCGTACTCACGTTTGTTTAGACACCCAATGCTCCTGGACGATATATCGGATATTGGTGCTTGAAGAACTCGATTTTCCACCTGTCGGAGCAAGCATCTGGATTGAGTGAGTTCTTTTTCTTTTCCTACTTGAAAGTTGTCTAATGAGAGTGCAAGTATTACCGTCGCTGAACACCACAACGTTGGCAGTGGTGAATGTAACCTACCGTCTTCGATGTTGTCGTCTTCCGTCATTGTCGACCACCGTCGCCGTCACTGCTGCTTCTAGGTTGACTAGCTCCGATGTCATCTCCCTTGACGGGTCCGAAGGTTCGTTCGTGGTCCGTCGTCTGAGGATTGGAGGATGGACGTGTGAACGCTCCTCCAGCCTCGTCCACTCGTGAAGAAGTACCTGGTCGTCGTGGATATCCCGGTTACATGTATATAGATTTGTCGGCCATCTTCGAAATGGATCCATCACCCAGATTCCCATTCTGCCCATGCGTGCGTTACCTGGACGTGAGCACAGGGCACGGCTGGAGTGTGTGTTTGAGTGTGTCGATCCATTGAGTAAACAACAAACCCACTCGGTGCCGAGCCAAGTGGAGACGACATTCGCGTTACTGAAGCGGTCAGCTCAAGGTGGATGCGGGGACTGTGGGACGTATCGTCTCTTCAACCGAGCAAGTGAGGCACGCGGTCTTGGAAGCACGGCCTGCGGATATCCCAGCTTTCAAGGTCAAGGTGCTGGATGGGTTGATTATGAAGGAGGACGTGATGCGTAGAGCGGTGTCCAAGTCGGAAGCCAGTCTGATCACGGGCATGCTTGCCACATTGGTTCCTGATGTGTGATGCAGGAGCTGGTCGAACCTATCGTCCAGTCCCCGTTCGAGGTAATCAAGGCGTATCTGCGCGTCGTGGACAATACAAAGCAGTAGAGGGTATGGGGACTCGTTGCAGCTGGATGTCAAGACACTGGTGGATCTGGCTGAGAAGGTTCCTCTGTCGCTAGGAGGAGGCAAGCTGGACAATGCGAGTCCAGATGGCGAAGATGCAGAGACGGTGAAGCGCATTCTGCGTACACCATCAGGACTCTTCCTCTCCGAGGAGGGATACTATGGACCTCATCGACGGATCGCGTGGGGACAGCGAAAGGAATACACGAAGCTCTATGGGATGATTGTGACGCGTCTGAAAAGGTTTCGACGGAGGAAGTCGCCCAACAAAGACGACGACGCCGGGACTGGTCAATTAATGAAGGGTCGTCTAAGACTTGTGCCAGATTGAATGGACCCGACATTCCTCACATGCCTTCTTCCTAAAGATCACTTCCGGAATGGAGATAGAGACTCATCCATTGGCTTACTTCGTCCTCCCCAGTGACCGCGCGCAGGGTACTTCCGCTAGAAAGGCAAAGAAACTGAGTTCGTGTTTGCATACCGATGAACTGACCTTGGGGCCCTCGTCCATTCGAGGTGCGCCCTTCAACATTTCGCGCTCTCCTTACATTGACCATATTTACTAGCCAGACCCAATCTTGGAAACATTCTCAAAATCAACCCTTGTTTCGCCTGCGACCGCCGACTGATCCCATACGCCCGCTCTTTTCCCGACAACCATGGGGCGCGACATGTCTCGCGACGTCGGGATTTTTTCGGCGTACTTGGTCGACTGCCCCGTATCTCAAAGGATAATACTACAGACACGCCGAATACAACACGTGAAGGCTGTAGAGCGCATTGTTATTGTCTGGTGGGTCTTTTGAATTTCAGAATTTCCACTATTTCTGGCAAAACTCATTGTGTCCTTTAGATGAATATCCGCCCTTGATTCGTCTTCTTAATAGGCATAGCGGAGAAAGTAAGTGAGGGGGTATGCCATGGTTATGCTGCTCGGCTGAATGTCGCGCCCGTTAGATGTCGGACGAGTCTCGGGATGGCGTTGGGCGGGATGATAGGCTTGTGTGTGATTTCGGCGTGCTTTGGCAGATAGATCAAAGGTTTGTAGGCCAAGCAATACTCTTGTTGAACATGGGGTCCACCGACTCGTTGTTGAATGGTATCTCAAACATAATTGGACCGAAGGAATCGGAGAAAACTGTACCATAAACAATTAAGGATTGAGAATCTCCATCAGCAAACAATGTATGGTCAGAAGGGAGCAGTGGCGAAGGCTGTCAGTGGCTCGCGTTCAAGTTCCTCGCGACACCCTTCTGAGTAGAGCGAGAACATCTGCGTGCATTTATCATCCTAACAAGAATCCTTCAGTCCTCTGAGATGAGCCTCAGGTTACACTGAAGGCGCGCCCGACGCGCGCAACGAACCGAACACTGTCTAAATCGGTCTAAACACCGGCGTCGAGAAGAACAAGATGATCATGACCGGAAACGTCATGATCAAGAAGATTAAGAAGAAGAACCCGAAAGGGGTCAGGGCGAGTAAGACGACGAAAGGGTGGCCTCCATCATGCTCATCCTCGGCCTTGTCCTCTCCTCAGCTATGTACGTCCGGATCACCTCGACGCCAACGAAAACGCGAAAGGACCGTCAATATATCAGATATACCTCCAGACCTGTGTCATGAACACACCAGGACCAAAAAAGCGGTGTCGACAAGGTGTCGAGGTGTCTACTGGGTGCAGACCACGTCCTTTTGGGAGTTGGATCCGACGGTTTGCTACTTTGGATTCTACGTAGAAAATGGTTTTACTGGTGAATATCCTGTGCGAATTAGCAGGCGTCTGACCCTCTAATGTTGCCACATTTAGTGCCGACCCCGAAAAGTTGAAGAAATATTACTGTTAGCTTCACGAAGCGTCAAGGTCTCACCGGGCCGCGGATGTCTGGAGCGTGATCTTCTCAGATGACTGCATTCCTAGTCAAGCGGTTCTGAGGATTATTATCAATACCTGCCTCAGAGTCAACTACCACCATGGACGGAGCTGTACGTTCAGCGTATTCCCTGTTGTCTGACGCAACGACGGTGCCCTTGGCCTCTTTCGAGCGCGTCGACATCAGAGCAATCCGTATCGGCCATGCTGAAGAGATAGAGATTGATATCGTGGCCCACGCGAATCATTTCATCGTTGTTGTTGATGGAGGAGGGAGCCTTATGGCGGGGACAGAGAGCGCCAAAATAACTACTCTCGATTCATTTGGGTGGTCAAAGGACGACCGCGTTGGGCGTCACTGTAAACTGGTCGGAGGTCCGGAGGGCTTGACGGTCCTCTTTGTCTCTGACAAGGTCGTCAATTCGGGCATGGTACGTTACCGTCTGTTCAGGTCTTTCGCGACTAAAGATCCATGAAGCCTAACGAGGGTGCCAGCGAGCTGCCAAAGCAGATCATCAACGGATACGCTGCTGCACAGCCTAGGGATTACCGGCCTACCATATACTGCAAGCTTGCATCTCTTACGAGGCTTTCTATGCCAGACTCGGACGCGACCCGTGGCTGGAATGTCAACCTGGAGATCCTACCACCCGGGATGAAATCTTCGGACGCACATGCACATTCGCTAGATGACGAGCTCGTTCTGATATTAAAAGGAGCGGTGCGGTATTGGAATCATGGAGAAAACGTGCGCTTGAAGCCTGGGGATTGTGTAGCGTGGACAGCCGGGACTGGAAGGGCGCATACACTGATCAACGACGGTCTCTCACACTCAAATGAAGGTATCGACTACCATTCAGGTGTGACCATGTGCGATACTCATGTTGCTTTACAGGTGAAGACTTTGTGTATCTCGTCTTTGGGGAGAACCACCAGAGCGACAAACTCTTCTACCCAGATCTGCCGCATAATGTACGAGAGGAGCGGAGATGGGTCCTCGGAAAGCCAGATTTGCCATGGGGGAATGCTCCGAAGGGTCCGGAGTACCCCATAATTACATCGTAGTTGAAAAATTGTGTTCCTGAAGGCCACGGCGAGTAAATTTCCTTGCCAATATCGAGTGCGTTGTTGTATGCGTCGTTCTCCAGAACTGGGATGATATTCTCCGGCTCTGAGTCACTGGTCGCAAGGGAAGCTTTCTCCCAAGTGTCATAGATAATCGGCCACAGGAGTCCCGGCCGGAAAAATTGCATCTGCGCCACATTCTCCTATCCGATATGGTGTAACGGCTAACATTGGCGCCTTTCACACTGGGATACGCGCTAGCTCGGGGTTCGATTCCCCGTATCGGAATGGCGTCGATAGTTGCCAAGACAAACATTTTACTGAATTCTGAAAGAACACTGATCGAAGACTCGTCGCTCGAGCCTCGCGCATGCGAGGCTCCCTTCGAAAGCTTGCGAGTAGTGTGCTTCTCCCGATTCACTCACTGCACTTCATTGCAGAGAGAGTCGAAACCTATAGTATCATTCAGAAGTGGCGCAACATTCATCAAGTCGACTGCTGTCTACTTCTTCCCGTTTTCGCCTCATTACGGTTACTCCTTGCCACGCGCACGCGTATGTACGTATTCAGCAATCCCGGCTTCAACATATTAGAAACGTGTGTTTGAGCATCTTCAATCACGTTGAGTGTCCAAGGGAAGGAAGAGAAGAAAGAAGAAAGAACCCAAGATGCAATGTATCCTGGGGGTTTCGGGGGAGAGGTCTTCGCTTGCGCTGGAAAGCCGAACGAGATGGCAGTTAGATGGAGGAAAACAGGATGGTCACGTGGTGGACCGCGATGACCGCTCGCTCGAGCTGGATGTGCTGAGAACAGGCAAGCGGAGAGCTCTGGTGAAGGCCGGATGGATCCAGACACGAAAAATGTACGATCGACGAGTCTCTGAGCTCCGACGAGGATGAGAGTTTGGGGCAAGAGAATGAGACGGCACAAGAATTGTGGGGGCGAATCCAGTAATTACTATATACGGACGTGTCAAGCTACCGAAATGGACGCGTTTCTTCTTTAGCTTCGCCCTGCACTCTCTCAGTGCAGGCGAGAGTGGTCCAGCATCGTCAAGATGGATCGTCCTGACAATGGTCCTGCCCCAGTGTGGCCAGATGATGTGCCTGCGCATTCTCTGCCTCAGACGGCCCCGCTATCATTCGCAGAAGCCAGCTCGGACGTCGATCTACCAGGCCCGGAGCCCAACCAGCCTTTACCCTCCTTGCCGCTTGAACGGGAGACAAAGCAGCAACGGTCGTCCGGTATAGACTGGATAATCCCAATCATCGACAAGGTGGTGCTTCTCCTTCCACGCTACGACGCGCTCATTTGACTACTGGCAGCCCCATCGCGTGAAGACGGTCGGAGAACGCCTCCAGCCGACGCTCAGCACGGCGGAAGCGGAGAAGGTCAAGTATGCTTTCAGAGCCAGGACGACGGGATACGCGCTCAACATCGCTATCGGTATGTATGACTCTTCGTGTTAGCCGACGCGACGAACTAACGAAACGCCACTGCTTATGATAGGCATGCAAGTCATGCTAGGCGCACTGACGACAGGCATCTCTGCTGCTACATCAGGCAAAAGCGTTAGTTTCTCCGTAGCTTGGCACCTTCCACTCACCTACTCTTGGGTTCCAGACTTCCATCGCTATATGCATCCTTGGTTCTCATGCTCCTCATCTGCTATCGCGTTCTTCGCTCACCTCGTATCCTAGGTGGAATCTCCACAATGGTCGCATCCTACCTCGCGCGCGCCCGCGGCTCAAACGAACCAGAGCTCTCGATTACACGCGTAAAGGACCTGGAACAGTTCATCCGCGAATGCCAGGCGTTTCAGATGGACCATGGCCACTGTGCGGGGAACGAGTTTGATTCGGATCTGGAGTCACTGCGGAGACGATTCGAAGAGCTGTTGGGGAACGCTAACGGCTAAGTGTCACGCATACTACTTTTCCTTGGCTGATCACAAGCGGCACTAGAGAGCGTAAATTGGCCACACCAGTGTAGAAGGTTTAAATGCACACTCGGCGGCGGAGACAGAATTCCAGAGGAATTCAATCAGATTTCGGACTCTTCACTCCTTCGCTCTTGCTCTGTATGGTATGGCTAAGTAGTACACTGAATAATTTTCTGTCCTTTCCTATAGTACCCTTCGAACGATAGAATAGTATGTGTGTGTAATGATCGTCCTTTGCAACTAGAATGACCTCTCAGCATGAGGGACTTGACTTGTCGCTGCTGTCGAGGCGCGTAAGCGCTTGGATTCTGTTATCCGTCGGGCTGTTGGATCCTAATGCGTACGGCACCAGTAGTGTAACACAGGCTCCCGCATTAAGGATTTCACGAAACGGATTCTCACATTTTCATTTAATGTAACCTACTCTACATAATCAACCTCTTATAGACCAAAATGGATGGCAGCGCACAATTAATCTTCGTCCGACTCTGTATCATACCCATCATCATCCCTCGCACCATTCTCCATGCTCGTCCTTCTACTGCCCCCATCCATCTCAACAATCAACTGCCCCCCACCGTCCTTCAAACACGGTACCTCACCAAGCCTCACATTCGCCTTCCACGCCACCTCCGCCCGTGGGTACGATGACAACAGCTTAAAGCCCCACCACTCCCTCTCCCCGCCCATTTCCCCAATAACACTCTCCACATCTCCACCTTTCGGAGACGCCGCTGGGTCAGCTGAAGCCGCATACTCCGCCGGAATAAACTCCTTGTCCACAAACGCATACAATTGTGATAGCGTTGCCTCCGGACTAAACCGCCGCATGAGGCGCGACCCATTCGGAAGGCGTATCGCGATACGCAGTTTGTCCGAGGAAGTCTCAGCAGGTACGAGGGCTTGTCGAGCCCAGCGCCTCCAGACCATGCGCTCCTTTACCAGTCGCTCGCGTTCCTCCACTGCACGCTGTCTTTCTAACTCTTCTGCCTCCGCACGCCGCGCTTCTGCTTGTCGCTCTGCTTCAGCGGCCTTTTCCTGCGCCATCTTGGCTCGGATACGGTCTGTGTCGCGACGTGCGGCGTCCTGGAAAGCTTGGTCCTGTTGTTGACGCAGCATACGGTCACGTTCTATAGCGCGCTGGGAGTCGACAAGGCGTTGCAAGTAAGGCTGAACACGTGGGAGAAGGTTGCTCGTTAGATGTTCAACGAGTTTGGTTGGCGAAGTGTTGCTGGCGCCCTGATGACGAGAAAGGACAGTCAAAGTGGGCGACTGGGAAGACGAGGAACGAGTGGGTTGATTCGACACAAAGGCAACAAATGGATATGTCGTGGCTTGCAGTTTTTCAGAGGCTGTGTATGGTTCCAAGTCGCGGACATCGCCTCCCCAGACGATGAAGTTGCTGTCAACGAGCAGATTGACGAATGTGGGGTCTGTGAGTGTAGTGCTGTAAAATTCATTTAGCTAGGGTTACCGGAATGTGAGATTGAACTGACCGCTTGAACTCGGCGTCATCGTCGTGTTCTTCACTGACAAGGATGACGCATCCGACTCTATTTTCCTTCTGGCAACGCCTCAAGGTGTCTTCATAGGTGCCTACAACAAAGTTGGGCAGATGCTTTTGAGGCTGAGCTCCTCGGGCGGTCAGACCAGAAGAGGATGGTCCTGCAATACCGGAGGCGACAGCAGATGATGCACTTCCGATGCACACTGCGCCGGTCTCCTCTTCTAGCTCGCGTATCCAGCTGTCGATGCCTCGGGAGGTGGCTCGAGTAGGACGTAACGGCCGGTAAAAGTTGAGAGACAGGAAGGGAATGTGGGGGATAGGTATCCGCAAAACAGAGAATATGAAGCGGAATATAGAGGAGAGTAGCTGGAAAGGATAGCTGATGATTGATATCAAAGCTGAAGGACGTGGATTTGAGGGGAATTCGTTGACATTTCTCTACAAGAGGTTAGCTTGGACAAGCTAACAGAGGGAAAGCATTACCTGACTCCAGTCTTGTGTCTCGCCTTGGGCAGAGTCATTGACTTCAAAGTGTTCCATTTGCCTTGTGGGCGGGGAATGAGAAGGACCTGTACCAAATATCATGTCCGCTGCTTGCTGTTGTGCTGTTAGAACCGAGTAAAGCGAGCGAGCGAGGGTGAACAGTCATACCTGAACGTCCCAGTCAACGCTAGAGAGCACCCAATAGAGACGTCGTCGTCGCCGCCATTGGTGAGATCCCTGAGTTGGTTGAGCGCCTCAAGTTGTGTCGGAGTCAGACTGTCCATGGTATGAGACCACAATTAGCCTTGAACGCGTTCAAGGCGTGCAGTACGACGAGTAATGCAGAATTAAAGCAGAAATGACGCTGGTAGACGACGAGCACAACGGCGGGAACGTGCTGGAGATGATGGTGGTCCGGAAGAAACCTGTGTACCTAACCCTAACCCAATCTTGACACGTTCTCTCTCTTCGCATCCATCACCTCGTAAAATGGCAAGCTCATATATTCTGCATTTTATTCGATTTTTACCATTATCCAGGTCGTCCTAGCAGCGTCGATATGCACAAAAGGCGGCAAAGGTGAGCCGCTGTGCGCATCCCTGCCCGACGTCGACTAAAGTAGGCCTTTTCAGCGGTCGTTTCCCGCCAATTCCGCGATATGTCACGGACGAGAATCGAGTCGCTGCTGGCGTCGTTCCCGAAGCTGATTCCGACGGGAACCCAGCATACAACCGTCGAGACAGCCGACGTGCGCTATGTCTACCAACCGCTGGAGGAGCTGTATATCCTCCTCATCACGAACAAGGCGTCCAACATCCTCCAAGACATTGACACCCTCCATCTCTTTGCCCGCGTCGTGTCTGATCTCTGCCGCTCCGCCGACGAGCGCGAGATATTGACCAAGGCCTTTGAGATCCTCGGCGCATTCGACGAGATTGTCAGTATGGGCTACAGAGAGAACGTGAATCTCATGCAGGTCCGCAGTGTCCTTGAGATGGAGAGTCACGAAGAAAAGATCCAGGAAATCATTGCCAGGGTAAATTTACATTCGTCTTGTATCCATATACTAATCGTGGTAATAGAACAAAGAAGCTGAAGCCAAGGAGGAGCTCAAACGACGCGCTAAACAGCTCGAGATGCAACGCCGCGAGCAGCAACGTCGCGCAGCCTCGGGCGGTGGCGCGATGTACGGCGGTATCACTGGATATTCCTCAGTTCCGCGCTTCGAGCCAGCGGAGCATACACCCAGCCGCATTATCACCTCTTCACCTGCGCCTACAGCCTCTCGCGCGCCTGCTTTCAAGAGTTCTGGTATGAAACTCGGCAGCAAAAAGACAAAACAGGCAGAACTGCTGG